CGTGTCACAGAAAACAGGGTTGGAGATTGAAAACAGGGTTGGAGATTAAATCGCTGTTTTCACTGTGTATGCCTTGGCTTAGGGCCCCCATTTTGTCACGTGTCACAGAAAAACAGGGTTGGAGATAGGAAACAGGGTTGGAGATTGAATGGCTGATTTCACTGTGCATGCCTTGACTTTGGGTTAGGGCCCCCATTTTGTCACGTGTCACAGAAAACAGGGTTGGAGATTGAATCTCTGTTTTTACTGTGTATGCCTTGGGTTAGGGCCTCCATTTTGTCATGTGTTAGAGCCCCCTTTTGTCACGTGTCACAGAAAACAGGGTTGGAGATTGAAAACAGGGTTGGAGATTAAATCGCTGTTTTCACTGTGTATGCCTTGGCTTAGGGCCCCCATTTTGTCACGTGTCACAGAAAACAGGGTTGAAGATTGGGAACAGGGTTGGAGATTGAATGGCTGATTTCACTGTGCATGCCTTGGCTTTGGGTTAGGGCCCCCCATTTTGTCACGTGTCACAGAAAACAGGGTTGGAGATTGAATCTCTGTTTTCACTGTGTATGCCTTGGGTTAGGGCCTCCATTTTGTCATGTGTTAGGGCCCCCATTTTGTCACGTGTCACAGAAAACAGGGTTGGAGATTGAAAACAGGGTTGGAGATTGAATCGCTGTTTTCACTGTGTATGCCTTGGCTTAGGGCCCCCATTTTGTCACGTGTCACAGAAAACAGGGTTGAAGATTGGGAACAGGGTTGGAGATTGAATGGCTGATTTCACTGTGCATGCCTTGGCTTAGGGCCCCCATTTTGTCACGTGTCACAGAAAACAGGGTTGGAGATTGAAAACAGGGTTGGAGATTGAATCGCTGTTTTCACGGTGTATGCCTTGGCTTAGGGCCCCCATTTGGTCATGTGTTAGGGCCCCCATTTTGTCACGTGTCACAGAAAACAAGGTTGGAGACTCAAAACAGGATTACAGATTGAAACACTGTTTTCACGGTGTATGTCTTGGCTTACGGCCCCCATCTTGTCACGTGTCACAGAAAACAGGGTTGAAGATTGGGAACAGGGTTTGAGATTGAATCGCTGTTTTCACTGTGCATGCCTTGGCTTAGGGCCCCCATTTTGTCACGTGTCACAGAAAACAGGGTTGGAGATTGAAAACAGGGTTGTATTGACAAAGTTTCTCCACTATAAAGAATTTGCTTGTTGCGATTTTTCAAACACTCACCCACACGTGCGCTCCGAGCACGACAAAAAAGACGGAACCACTTTTCATGCAGAGGGGCTCGAGAAATAAGCAGTTGAGCACCGCTGCCTCACGCCCATTGCTTCCCCCACACTTGGACCATTTCGCGGCCTCCGTTTGAGCTTGTATTGACAAATTTTCTCCACTATAAAGAATTTGCTTGTAGCGATTTTTCAAACACTCACCCACACGTGCGCTCCGAGCACGACAAAAAAGACGGAACCACTTTTCATGCAGAGGGGCTCGAGAAATAAGCAGTTGAGCACCGCTGCCTCACGCCCATTGCTTCCCCCACACTTGGACCATTTCGCGGCCTCCGTTTGGGCTTGTATCGACAAATTTTCTCCACTATAAAGAATTTGCTTGTTGCTATTTTTCAAACACTAACCCACACGTGCGCTCCGAGCACGACAAAAAAGACGGAACCACTTTTCATGCAGAGGGGCTCGAGAAATAAGCAGTTAAGCACCGCTGCCTCACGCACATTGCTTCCCCCACACGTGGACCATTTCGCGGCCTCCGTTTGGGCTTGTATTGACAAATTTTCTCCACTATAAAGAATTTGGGTTAGGGTTAGGGTTAGGGTTAGGGTTAGGGCCCCCATTTTGTCACGTGTCACAGAAAACAGGGTTGAGATTGAAAACAGGGTTGAGGATTGAATCCCTGTTTTCACGGTGTATGTCTTGGCTTAGGGCCCCCATTTTGTCACGTGTCACAGAAAACAGGGTTGGAGATAGGAAACAGGGTTGGAGATTAAATCGCTGTTTTCACTGTATATGGCTTGGGTTAGGGTTAGGGCCCCCATTTTGTCACGTGTCACAGAAAACAGGGTTGAAGATTGAAAACAGGGTTGAGGATTGAATCCCTGTTTTCACCGTGTATGTCTTGTGTTAGGGTCCCTATTTTGTCACGTGTCACAGAAAACAGGGTTGGAGATTGAAAACAGGGTTGAGGATTGAATCGCTGTTTTCACCGTGTATGTCTTGGCTTAGGGCCCCTATTTTGTCACGTGTCACAGAAAACAGGGGTAGGGTTAGGGCCCCTATTTTGGGTTAGGGCCCCCTTTTTGTCACGTGTCACAGAAAACAGGGTTGGAGATTGAAAACAGGATCTCAGATTGAAACGCTGTTTTGACGGTGTATGCCTTGGCTTAGGGCCCCTTTTTTGTCACGTGCCACAGAAAACACGGTTGGAGATTGAAAACAGGATCTCAGATTGAACCACTGTTTTCACGGTGTATGTCTTGGCTTAGGGCCCCCATTTTGTCACGTGTCACAGAAAACAGGGTTGAAGATTGAAAACAGGGTTGAGGATTGAATCCCTGTTTTCACGGTGTATGTCTTGTGTTAGGGCCCCCATTTTGTCACGTGTCACAGAAAACAGGGTTGAAGATTGAAAACAGGGTTGAGGATTGAATCCCTGTTTTCACCGTGTATGTCTTGGCTTAGGGCCCCTATTTTGTCACGTGTCACAGAAAACAGGGTTAGGGTTAGGGCCCCTATTTTGGGTTAGGGCCCCCTTTTTGTCACGTGTCACAGAAAACAGGGTTGGAGATTGAAAACAGGATCTCAGATTGAAACGCTGTTTTGACGGTGTATGCCTTGGCTTAGGGCCCCTTTTTTGTCACGTGCCACAGAAAACACGGTTGGAGATTGAAAACAGGATCTCAGATTGAACCACTGTTTTAACGGTGTATGTCTTGGCTTAGAGCCCCCATTTTGTCACGTGTCACAGAAAACAGGGTTGAAGATTGAAAACAGGGTTGAGGATTGAATCCCTGTTTTCACGGTGTATGTCTTGTGTTAGGGCCCCCATTTTGTCACGTGTCACAGAAAACAGGGTTGAAGATTGAAAACAGGGTTGAGGATTGAATCCCTGTTTTCACCGTGTATGTCTTGGGTTAGGGCCCCCATTTTGTCACGTGTCACAGAAAACAGGGTTGGAGATAGGAAACAGGGTTGGAGATTGAATCGCTTTTTTCACTGTATATGGCTTGGGTTAGGGCCCCCATTTTGTCACGTGTCACAGAAAACAGGGTTGGAGATAGGAAACAGGGTTGGAGAATGAATCGCTGTTTTCACTGTATATGGCTTGGGTTAGGGCCCCCATTTTGTCACGTGTCACAGAAAACAGGGTTGAGATTGAAAACAGGGTTGCGGATTGAATCCCTGTTTTCACGGTGTATGTCTTGGCTTAGGGCCCCCATTTTGTCACGTGTCACAGAAAACAGGGTTGGAGATAGGAAACCGGGTTGGAGATTGAATCGCTGTTTTCACCGTATACGGCTTGGCTTAGGGCCCCCATTATGTCACGTGTCACAGAAAACAGGGTTGGAGATAGGAAATAGGGTTGGAGATTGAATCGCTGTTAGGGTTAGGGTTAGGGCCCCCATTTTGTCACGTGTCACAGAAAACAGGGTTGGAGATTGAAAACAGGGTTGGAGATTGAATCGCTGTTTTCACGGTGTATGCCTTGGCTTAGGGCCCCCATTTTGTCATGTGTTAGGGCCCCCATTTTGTCACGTGTCACAGAAAACAAGGTTGGAGACTCAAAACAGGATTACAGATTGAAACACTGTTTTCACGGTGTATGTCTTGGCTTAGGGCCCCCATTTTGTCACGTGTCACAGAAAACAGGGTTGAAGATTGGGAACAGGGTTGGAGATTGAATCGCTGATTTCACTGTGCATGCCTTGGCTTTGGGTTAGGGCCCCCATTTTGTCACGTGTCACAGAAAACAGGGTTGGAGATTGAATCGCTGTTTTCACTGTGTATGCCTTGGGTTAGGGCCTCCATTTTGTCATGTGTTAGGGCCCCCATTTTGTCACGTGTCACAGAAAACAGGGTTGGAGATTGAAAACAGGGTTGGAGATTGAATCGTTGTTTTTACTGTGTATGCCTTGGCTTAGGGCCCCCATTTTGTCACGTGTCACAGAAAACAGGGTTGAAGATTGGGAACAGGGTTGGAGATTAAATCGCTGATTTCACTGTGCTTGCCTTGGCTTAGGGCCCCCATTTTGTCACGTGTCACAGAAAACAGGGTTGGAGATTGAAAACAGGGTTGGAGATTGAATCACTGTTTTCACGGTGTATGCCTTGGCTTAGGGCCCCCATTTTGTCATGTGTTAGGGCCCCCATTTCGTCACGTGTCACAGAAAACAAGGTTGGAGACTCAAAACAGGATTACAGATTGAAACACTGTTTTCAGGGTGTATGTCTTGGCTTAGGGCCCCCATTTTGTCACGTGTCACAGAAAACAGGGTTGTATTGACAAATTGTCTCCACTATAAAGAATTTGCTTGTTGCGATTTTTTAAACACTCACCCACACGTGCGCTCCGAGCACGACAAAAAAGACGGAACCACTTTTCATGCAGAGGGGCTCGAGAAATAAGCAGTTGAGCACCGCTGCCTCACGCCCATTGCTTCCCCCACACTTGGACCATTTCGCGGCCTCCGTTTGGGCTTGTATTGACAAATTGTCTCCACTATAAAGAATTTGCTTG